GCTAAGAGAAGTTCAAAATGCAATCTCATAGTAGCACAGTCCATTTGCCTGTATAATGGTTGAAAAAATGAACAGCACACTTAATCTGTATCCTTCTAATAAGTCCTTCAGGGTCTTCGTCAGAATTCCCGCTAACTGGCCAATAGAAGCAGATGCAATCGATTGTCACCGCGAGGAAGCCTTTTAAAATGTGATAAGACGGACACAGATCCTTGAGATCATCAAAGAATTCGAAGTTATCTCTGTATTAACTTCGTGCTAGGCTTATAAGCAGAACGCTCACGTTTTGAATTTCCTTAAAACTAATTTCTGGTCGCGGTACACATCAGTATATGTAAGGCCTATAGGCATAGACCAACATCTTATATTTGGGCAGAACCATTCCAACTACTGCGTAATGTAGACCTGATGCCAACGGACAGACTGGGCCTTTTGGCCAGCACCTGGGCTGTTAGTATGGCAAGTTACAACTAACTTTGCCGTCGTTTATCAGATTCAGTGCAAAGCTAGCGTTATGCGTACCTGATCCGTAAAGGGACCTGGCGACAGCTGCAGCCAGAACTGGATTTGCTGGAGCGTCGAGCTCGTCTTCCTCCAAGGGATTTCTGCCTGGCATCTGTCCTGTCTCCTTTTTTCTATTTACCGCACTCGCGCCATCTCTGCGGTCACTGTGTGGATCAGATTCCAGCTGGTTGTAGGAGTCTTCTGGAAGTCCAGCTGTGGTAACTGCTCTACGTAGCACACCACGATCTCTTGCTGTCCTGGGCGAAAAAAAAATAAATCGATGTAACCGGCGACATCAGTTTTCTGGCAAGCTTACTTCATCCGCGTGTTCAGGACACAAGCAGAGTTAGGAAATAATTCTGCGTCTTAGTTGACTCACTTGGGAAAAACACAGCAGCCTCGGGGGTATTCGAACCCATGCCAGCAGAGCGAGGGCTTTATTACGGCCAATGCTCTAGCCAACTGATCTATGAGAACCCACCGGAAGCCTTGAGGTTAATTAAACTCGGAGCAAGCTACCCGACCATGCCCAAACCCCCTACTCATCTGGTGGATCCGAGATTAATTGCTTAGGAACTCCTGCTTGGGCAGTCACCTTACTGTATCAGAATTGTTACATTCCATAGGTTGCAGTAGGCTGGGCGGGTAACTTGTGCCAAGTTTTGATAAGCTCGCAGCTCCGGGTGGGACCTCGTAGATCAGTTGGTTAGAGCGTTGGATGTACTAAAGCCTTCGCATTACTGGCTTGAGTTCGAATCCCAACGAGTACGCCGATGTTTTCACAAGTTGGTCAAATGAATTGCCTTGATATGTCAAGCCCCGTACTAATTACTAATTTCCATATTCTAACAAGGGGGTTTATCAGTACCGATTGATTTACAGGTAGCTAAAGGCCCGGACGGGTAGTTGATCGACTTTACTGTTGTTTGACGCAGCTGCGAGGGCCCATTTGTGGTTCCCATAGCGTTTCGTATGTAAGATTTCAGGTACATATTGTAGTTGGTAATTTTACGTTTTAAAATTTTCCCATAATTTAATGTATACACAAACTTAAAAGAATGAAAAGGAACTACTAAGAGGTTCCTC